GTGATATTTATTCCTCCGTGTTTGTTATGCAGCCAGATGAAAAGGTTGAATGAGGATATTCAAAAATAATAGCCTTAGTTCACCCAAAACTTTACTCAGCCTCGTGATGTTCCAAATCTGTATTTTTGAATACAGTTTGAGTATTGAAAAGAATAAAGACATTATCAAAATATCTTCTTTTGTGTGCAACAAAAGAAAGAAACAGGTTTGGAACAACATGAATGTGAGTAAATGATGACAGAATTTTCATTTTAAATACTTCAAAGACTTACCATCCATCTTTCTCTAAAGTCAAAGGAGTTTGCTTTTTGTAGACTAAAATGGTTAATTTAATTCATGTTTGATATATAATTAAAAACAGTTTATCATAAGAACAGCATCAATGTATCTAAATATTATGATCAGAAAATACTGAAATTAGATTTCAAATAAAAATGATTTATTTTGTATTTAATTATTTTCATTCGTTTTAAAATGTGTTTGTTGCAAAATTATAATTTGAACAATTGCAATTGAATTTAGCATGATTTTACATAAGCTCAAATTGATTGTTCTCTTTATTTTTCTTCAGGGATTTTGTGTTGCAGTCCTTTACTGTTTTCTAAATGGAGAGGTAATATTATCAGAATTGAATGTTTTTTATGTATTAGAGAGAACTGTACATGCCAGTCAAAAGTTTGGAAACACATGTCTGAATTTGCTTCTCATGATCCTAAAAGCCTAATCTAACAAAAATCATCTTAGAAAAATATTGATATTTTCCTGACCTCATACACGCACTCTCCAGGTCCAGTCTGAGATCAAACGAAAGTGGAGGCGGTGGCACATGCAGAGATTTCTGGGAGCTGACACCAAATACCAGCAGCCCTCAATGGCAAGCAACGGCCTCAACTTCAGCTCCCAAATCACTATGATGACAAAATGCAGCCCCTCCACACCCCGCGCTTCCGCCTGTCAAGATGACTTCTCCACCGTCTGAGCAGATGTCTGAGTGATGCTCCGTCTATGACAAGACACACAAACCAATGAGTCTGTGTTCTACACGCACAGAAAGGCTGTCAACCAGACCACCTCCATCATCTGCAGGTTGCTGCTCCGCCATCATTCCTGTAGGAACTGCGCATCTCACCGCTCAGTAGGAACGTGAGGGAAACCGTGCAGCTCATGGTGACCGTTTGGCATATGATGTATCTTCATAGCCATTCTTTCATACACATCGATCAGGAGAGAAATATGCAAGTAAAATGGACTTTTTGACGTTTGATTGTGTTTCACCAAACTACTGACTCAAGTGACACTGGCTTTATAAGGATGCAATATTGTTGCTGAGAGAAGACTCGTTTGAATCATGGTCCACATCTATTGCCCCGTTTTTTTGTGCACAACAGCACAGACATTAAGCTTCAGCATTAGAGTTGGTATCTGTCTGTTGTGTTTTTCTGTTTTCCCTGCCCTCATTATGCTACTCAAGATTTCTCAGTCTCTTAATAATCTGTAAAGCTGAACAGTGACCTTTTGGGTCTCTAGTGACCAGGTTTTATTTTCATCTTCCTTATTCCAGGAAAAAAGTCATGATTTAGACAGTCTGACATTGTTTTTGCATCCTCCCTATTCGTGTCATGTGCATGTACATGTGGACAAACACAAACGTCTCTTATCGAGAGCCATAAAAGCATGTTTACTTGTGCAGCAGTGTGTCATGCTGTATGTTTTATAATAGTGATTTATAGTGTAATTGTATAGTTACATGTGAAAATGTACATGGGTTGTGTAACTGTGCACTTGTCGCATAAAAACAATTGCAAAAGATGCATTTTTAGGAGATTGGTCTTTCTAAAGAGGATTTTTAGTCTGAAATCTTTTTAGCTGTCATGAGTACATCTGCAGTGTTAGTCATAGTAGCTGGCATGAAAATGCTCCTGCATGTTTGCATGCACAGTTCTTGCACCTCATTGTGAATAAGATGTACATTTAAGAGAAAATGTCAATAGGAGTGTTGTTGCTGTTTTTGGAAAGTGTATTGTGGATGTTGTCATAGAAAGTATACAGATCAATTTTGTTACATTAGATCTTAGCATGTCTTTTCTCTTTATATAAAAGTATTTATATGCTGGTCAGAGAAAATTATAGATTTTTATATTAAATTATGTGTTATTTTTATTTTAACAAATCATCACTATCACCAGTGTACAATTAAAAAAAAATTATCATTATTTTGTATTTTATTTAAATTTTTGGTTTTAACAGGTCATTGCCTTCTAAGTTTATCCATCCATCCATCCATCCTGTATGTATCTATCTATACACATGGCTCTGTGTAAAAACGAAACACATTGTATTCATTCTGGCATTAATTCAACCACAATAGCAACTGCTTTGTTTTCATATATTGTGGATTTCAGCTTTCTCATGAAGTTTCAAAATCAGAGACATCACTATTAGGATGACAATCAAATCTTGTGCAAGAATGATGGAGTGAGAGAAAGCAGACCCAGTGAAAGGTGAAGGAGATCTCATTTTGTTTACCTCGTATCTAAAACATCTGTCATTTATTTATCTACCAAATCCCTTGTTAAATTATTCTCGCAACTCTCCCTCTCTTCCTCCCTTTGTGTATCTCTCCTTATATCATTTTCAGTGTCTGAATACCAGTGAGCATGCTGTCACAGCAGACCGATTAGCCAAACTCAGCATGGTCAAGCGCGGTTTAAAATTACTGCGAGATCTCCAATACATAAACAAAATGATGTTTATAGATGTGAGCAGATGAGAGCCAACAGGAGGCAGCGTCTCCTGAGGATTGCATTGAAATGAATGAAATGACTCCCATGGGGGGAGGGCTGGAAACTAAGCCTAGAATCACACCATGTTAATTAGCACGATATAAATATGAATTATATAAGCATGCAACCCCTTCTTATGTCCAAAAGCCTCATCTAGTTCACATATGGAAATTATTTTCAAAGACTATATTAAAATTAAATTCCCATAACTCACTACGACCATAAACATCATTGTTTGAGAGGCTTATTATTAGATGCCCTTCTTATAGACCTTGTGATTTATGTTGATTTGCGACTTACATTAGCTTACTCGTGAACTTCAACATCACTGGACGATTTACAACCTTCCTCTTACACCATGTTGTTAAAGACATTTGTCCAACGATTCTAATCTTTTGACAGAGTTTAACACTAAATGTGCTACAGCAGAGCAATTGTTATAACCCATTACTTTTTTGTCAGCACACACTCTGAACTTGTGCATGATAACAACACCAAAGACAAAGAGAATGACTGTAAAACTAACTGTTAAATTGCATATAAAAATCTTAACAATAGAATGCAGAAATGTATTGCACAAAATAAGATAAAACATTCTACATTTTAGGATTTTGTGCATACCTATATTTAGGGCATTTATATAAATAGATATATAGTGTATGTTACAGAACTACAGTCAGTCTCATATAGAGGTTAAGATAACATGAGTTTAGTCTGTAGATATTTTTAAAGGACGAATGAAATATCAGTGAGCCCCATGGGACTTATTGTGTGAGGCATTTACAAATAAATAAATGCTTTAATCCTATTAAAGTCAAAAGTGACATCAATTAGCCTAAATACAGAATTCATAAGAGTTAACTACATAAACATGTAAATAGTACACTCAGCTAAGATGCATTTCAAATCCAGTCCCTGTGTTATATAATCCATCTCTGCAATGTTTACCGTCAGAGCAGCTTTTGGTGTTCTTTCAACTTTATAAAAGTTTTTTTTTTTTTTTGCTCAGTGTTTTTGAACTTAGTATTATTTCTTCCCCATCAAAACCCTAAAAACATTATATTAACTCAAGCATACACTGAGTATTGACCTCTGCAGATCTAATCTGACAGCTGCACTAAGCCAAGGCACAATGCATTTCAAATCCAGTCCCTGTGTTATATAATCCATCTCTGCAATGTTTACCGTCAGAGCAGCTTTTGGTGTTCTTTCAACTTTATAAAAGTTTTTTTTTTTTTTGCTCAGTGTTTTTGAACTTAGTATTATTTCTTCCCCATCAAAACCCTAAAAACATTATATTAACTCAAGCATACACTGAGTATTGACCTCTGCAGATCTAATCTGACAGCTGCACTAAGCCAAGGCACTAAACTCTACCAGATAGGCCTAAAATATACTAAATGTTAGCTCCCAACACATAATACATCATTTTATCCCCCATACTTTACATCTGTGTGGTCTTTTTTGTCATTTTTGATGGCACAAGTCTTCAATAAAGTCTCTAATAAACACTTTTGCCTTTTGGTATAATAAACTGGGTTTTATTGTTCTGGAGGGACCTACTAACAGTTGCACTGACAGCAAACCCGAGATCATAACAAAGGCATTTATTGCGATTTTTCTCACAAAACTTTTTGCATGACCTTTTAAGTCAGTAAATAAAATATTTTAAGAGTTAGGAGTAAGAAGTCAGATATCAAATAGCAATTTCAAAACATGAAAAGTAACACTTTTATAGATGCAATAAAGTGTAGAGGTGAAAAAAAAATCTATGAAACGTCTCGGGCACAGCTGTGAGTTTAACGATGGCGTCAATGAGAGCGTCTCTAACAAAAAACTGTGTTGTAGCGCCACCGCGTGGCCGCAGCGGCGCTCTGCAGGCGTTAGCGCTGTCTGCGGTGAACCGGTTCACTCCGCGGTGGACTCGCTGACCCCGCTGCCTTGGGCTCTGACTGCGCAGCGGCGCCAGGTGCTCAAGGAGACCGTTTCAACGCATCCAAAAATGTGTTCTACCTAAGCGATTGTTCTGCCATTTGTAACCATAATTTAGCTCCGAACGCTTCGAATTGTGTTTTCCCCCTCGTTTAATCACGTCCCTGTCGCTTTAAAGCTCCAGACAAAACGACCCATATGATTTTCCACCTCCAATCATCATCACTCCCCCGGCCGAGAGTGCGAGCCCTTCTGCATACGGACAGATGTCTAAACAGAAGAGCGCATTGTGGATATAAATGACAGCTATTTTCATGAAAACGAAGCTCTGAAATGCTAAAGAGGGGAGACGGTTCTCCTTCGAGGCAGAGACCACTGAATCACCATGGTCGTAAGACCCTTCTCTTACTGTTTTTGTTACCTGCATGTCTGTCAATGTTTACTTGGCCTGTAGAATCTGACAGACATCAGTCACATCTGGAGGATGATGTGCATGTCATGCAGATGTGCTGATAGCATGCTGCTTCCACATCTGTCGAGAGCTTCTACAACTTTCTGCTACTTTTCGATAAGATGCTGATGTAATGATTGTTATTATCGGAACTTCTGTTCAAATTTTAATACAGCCCACAACTAAATAAATTACACTTAGAACAAATGTGCATAAATTGTACCCTTTGGGGTACAACAGGGACAGTACCCTCAAAGCAACCTTCTTCATCCCTAAAAGGTGCGTATTAGTACCTTAGAGTAGTGAGTATCCTTATAGTAGTAATATGTAGTTTTATGATACTATTATGAACTTTTTAGAGGTAAAGAGGGGAGAAAGTTGTCCGGTACTGCCCCAGTGACAAGATGTTGTACCCCTAAAGGTACAATTTTTGTAAAAAACAAAATTCTGAGTGTACCTGTCCCAGCTCATGACTTTGGACAATACCGTAGCTTAAATGAGAAATGTTGTGTAATAATGTTGGTATGTCTAGTAGAACTAGGACATATAATAATAATTTGTTATAATAAAGAATTAAAAGAAATTGTTTTTATAATATAGTAATATTTCACATATCTTCACTGTTTACTTGTCTGCATAATTGAATGACTATATTATGATAGCTGGAAAGCCTGTATATCATTCAGATACATAGCATATAAAATATTGTAATATAAATAATAAAATCATCTTTATAAAATATATAAAATATAAAAGCAGCTATATGCTATACATTTTAAGAAAAATATCAAGCTTGGCATTATAAAGAAAATATGTGTTCGATATTTAAAAATCTGAATCTAATCTAATCTAATCTAGTCTAATCTAATACTATAAAATATAATATAATATAATTTTAGATATCTGCACTGGTTACCTGTCTGGATAATTGGATTATTTTATTATGACAGCTGTATGATTTAGACAATCTGTAAACAACATACATAATTGATTATATATTATAATGTCATTAATATATACTATATTTTTTCTTTGTGAGTGACCTTTTTTTATAAAATATACAAAGGCATAAAAGACATGATATAAATTGTTTTCTAGAAATAGTTTTATATTACTAGAATTTAAAAATGATCATTTGCTTGACAGCTACCTTTGAAATGGCAATTACTCCAGCCTGTTGTTTGATTGTAATGTAAATCAATATCTAATATTTAAACATTGAAAGTTGATATGCATCTCACATCAATCTGATGTTCTGTTGTAGCTCATAGTGGAGAAAACTGCCGAGCATCCATCTGCAGAGTTCTCCCTCGTTGAGGATGTGGCCCTTCACTGCACCTTTTTAATGGACAGGTTGAACAAGCAGCGTCTGTTTCAGCCAGATCTATGTGACGTAGACATCGTCCTCCTGCACCACCAGACTTCTTTCCAGGCCCATAAGGGTGTCCTAGCAGCCTACAGCCCCTTCTTCCACTCGCTGTTTGCGTCGAGTAAGGAGCTGCGGCGAGTTGAACTCTCTCTGGAGACCCTCAAGCCTCAAGGCCTGCAGCAGATCCTCAACTTCATCTACACCTCCAAGCTGCTGGTCTCCAGCTGCAATGCCCAAGATGTGCTCAAGGCTGCCACAGTGCTCCAGATGAGCAACATCGCCACTTCCTGCAGTGAGCTCATTACTAGAAGCTCGCTGGACATCAGTCCCAGTGTGGACCAAGCCAAACAGGAAGTCGGCGCTCAGAGCTGGAGCAACAGCAACTCAGTGAACTCCAACTTTCTCATGGAGATCAAGCAAGAGAAGGACCCCACCTGTGCCAGGATCTATGGAGAGAAAAGTGAAGTGAACTCATATGCTGTTCAGGTTGGCGATGGGCGTCCAGTGCAAGTAGGCGGTTGTAAAGTAGAAGGGAAGGAAATGGAAAACCTGAAGGACTCTGAAGATCTTGATTCATTTAATAGAGAGCAAATTATTGTGGAGTTGAACCTGAACAATCAAACACTTAATGTGTCTAAAAGTTTAGAGGGAAACGCAGCAGCTCAATCTCCCTTACGACAACAGCTTCCTGGCAAAGGAAGACGGAGCGATGAGACTGTTGAGGAATCAAGAGACAATGTGGCTTTGGAGAAGGAGGACGATGAAGGCGAGCAAAGTGAAGATGATGATGTGAGACTTGAAGGCACCAGTGAAGAGGAAGGAGAACACACATTACCTGCATTCATGTCTGAAAGACCAGTACGACAAACCCTGGCCTCTGCTGATGCTGTAGCGATGGTCTCCAGGAGAAACAGTGTGAGAGAAAGGCAGGAGACGGCTCATGGAGGGAACAGTGAGGAGCTTCTGGACCAGGATAGCTTGAAGTTTCAGAGCTTCACCTGTGTGAGGTGCCCCAAGACATTCAACAACCGCTGGTACCTGGAGAAACACATGAACGTGTCACATAACCGCATGCATATTTGTGACAAGTGTGGCAAACGCTTCCTTATGGAGAGCGAGCTACTGCTGCATCAGCAGACCGACTGTGAGAAGAGCATACAGGTAAGCTCAAGGGCTAAGAGAATGACAGCAAATTCTTTTTTGACCAGCATAATCTTTCAATATTTTTTTCCTCTTTTGGAAAGTCATAGAAACACTGTCTTGGTTTTTGTTTTTTGCTACTGGGGCAAATGGGAATGTAAAAAACATGTATTAAACATATATATAAAAAACATATCTGTATTTTAAAAAATTTAAATATATGTTTTTTTGATGGGGCATAAAGAGTTCAGATGCAAAAACCTCTAAGTACCATCTGAAATTTTCATCTAAAATTAGCATTTTTATCAGGCTGCTATGTTAAGGTTCAGTAATGTTACTCTAATGGCAATGTATAGGTCCTTTTCTATGCAATTAAAGTGAAATAACTGAACATAAATATATGGGCCTGATAAAAATGCTCATTTTAGAAGAAAATTTCAGACGGCATTTAGAGGCTTTGCATCTGAACTCTTCATAAATAAATAAATAAATATGTGTGTGTGTGCGTGTGTGTGTGAGCGAGAGAGTGTCATGCCCATGGACTGTCCTTGTGTTCCTGTGTTGTGCTTTGTTCCCCATGTGCTCCCCGTAACCCAGTTTCTCCCGTGTTCTGATTGTGCTAATTTGATTCAGGTGTCTTTTGTCTGTTACCCCTCGTTGAGTTCCTGGTACTTAAGCTCTGTGTTTTCCTGTGTCCTGTGTCCAGTGTTAAACGTCAATTCCCCGTGCTACGTGTGTGTTCCTGCCTGTGAGTCATTGTGTGGATTAATAAAGACTATTATTCGTGAAACTCCGACGTCTCCTTCGCTCCCACACAGTAAGCACCGTGACAGAACAGTGGACCTAACGAACAGTAAGCGGTGCCCCTTCTCCCCATTTTGTTTTCCGTTCCCCATGGTTAGCCTGTAAGGACCTTCCTTTTGTGGAGTATGCCAGGGAATTCTTCGGGATCGCCGTCTTGACGGCATTGGATGACGCCACACTGAATTCTTTGTTCTGGATCGGGGCAGTTACCATCGCCCGTCGACCTCCCAGACACCACTGGACTATGCTGTAGGGAAGGGATCCTCCGGTGTCTGGAGAGTGTCTGGCCCTGATCCAGAACCGCTCAGCAGTCAAGCCAGCCGGCTGCTGCACTCTCAAGCCCACTGGCCGCTGCACTCTCAAGGCTGCCGGCCGCTACAGTGTGAAGTCCGCCGGCCAATTAATTTCCATTCCTCAGCTGACAGCAGCTGTCTCCCTCACCTCAAACCAAAGGAGGAATCTGAGGAGGAAAAAACTGTTATCTCAAGCCCCTGAGTCCACTCCAGTGTCGGCTCCAGTCCCTGAGTCCGCTCCAGTGTCGGCTCCAGCCCCCGAGTCCACTCCAGTGTCGGCTCCATTTCTCAAGTTAAGCCCAGAGAGGGCACCTGCTCCTACGCCCAGCCCAGAAAGGGCTCCTGTTTGCCAGTCAAGCCCAGAGTGGGCTCCTGTTCCCACGTCCAGCCCAGAGAGGGCTCCTATTCCCACTTCCAGCCCAGAGAGGGCTCCTATTCCCAAGTTAAGCCCAGAGAGGGCCACAGTTCGCGAGTCAAGCCCAGGGAGAGCCTCAGATCCCAAGTCAAGCACAGAGCCGGTTCCAGCCAGGGAACCCGAGATTTTCCCCAAGGAATTTTTTTGCTCCCCAAGCTGCTTCGCCATGGCTCCCTAGTCTGCCCACTCCACCATGTCCCCTTGAACTGCCTGATCCGCCATGGGTCCCGGAACGGGTACCGCCCTGGAGGCCTGTCCTAAGGGGCCTCCAGAGAGCCCACCCCCCTCCCCATTGGATGTTGTGTGGTGCATGGATGTGGGGGGAGGCGAGTAATGTCAGACTTGTGTTTT